CCATTGCATATTCACGACTTTTAATGTTTGTATGTTTATAAGCATGCAGCGTGCTTCATATGATGGAAGAGGAAATGATGTCCAACCTAATTTACGAAGAGCGTATAATAGAAATTGTTTTTTTGTACGGATTCTAATCTTTCTTCGTGCGTGATTGAAAAAGGAGACCATACAATGCTGCAATATTCCAGTATTGACCTCACATAGGCGATATATAGTGTTTTAATTGTGTATGGGTCCTGAAAGTTATAGCAAAAGCGCTTGATAAAGCCTAGCATGTTATTTGCCCTGTGAATAATTGTGTTGTAATGGTCTATGAAAGTTAGTTTAGAGTCTAAGATAATTCCTAAATCCCTAACTCTTTCACATTTTTCTACATTTTGATTTCCTAGTGCAATTGAAATATTTGAAGTTGTTCTTTTCCTGCTAAATGATATTAAGTTACATTTTTTTATATTCAATTCTAGTAGACTTTTTTGCACCATATGTAGAATATGTGTATTTCATTCCGGAATATATTGATGTCTTCTTCATTTCTTATTTCTAAAAAGAGCTTCATGTCGTCGGCATAAATAAGACATTTAAGTTTTTTGAGAATGAAAGAAATGTCGTTTACGTATAGAATAAAAAGAAGAGGTCCCAAATGAGAGCCTTGAGGGACGCCTGAAGTGACTTGAATTGGACTCGATTTCTTTCCGTTGAATTTAATTATTTGTTGGCGGTTAGTTAAATATGATTCAAGCCATTTTAGGAGCCCCAATTTTTTGCAATTTAAAAAGTAGCATTGGTATGTCTATGCGGTCAAATACCTTGCTAAAGTCTGTATAGAGAGCTTCTACGTGGTTTCCATTATCCATTGCATTTAATGAATAGTCTATAAATTCAAGTAAATTTGTCGAGGTCGAGCGACCCTTGAAAAAGCCGTGTTGCATGTCAGTAATTCTATTTTTGATTTGGAGAAATAATTTTTCGTTGACAATTGCCTCGAAAAGTTTAGGAATGCAAGAGATAATGGCTATACCACGATAATTACGTACGTCAGATTTTCGGCCAGATTTAAAGATAGGCACTAGGAATGAGCTTTTCCAAGTTTTTGGGAAGGTTCCAGATTCCAGGGACATATTAAAAATCCAGAACAATGGAGCAGTGAGTTCCATTGCTAGACATTTAATAAAAACTGGAGGAATTCCGTCAGGTCCAGGACCTTTTGAGGCGTCTAAATTTTTTAAAGCCTGCAAAATATCCTGCACTTGAAGTTGATTGAGGCCAATGTCCCTTGAAAATTCTGGAAAAAATGCAAAATAATCGCGGTCACGATCTTCTTCAGAAAATGTCGTATAGATTTCTTGAAAAAATTTTGCAAATAGATTGCAGTTTTTTTCCGAGCTATCACCGACATTTTCGTCGAGTTGCATTATTGAAGGAAAATTGTCAGATTTTAATTTGGTTTTTACGTAATTAAAGAAGTTCTTTGGACAGGACTTTATTTCATGTTCTGTTTTTGCATTATATTCTTCAAATGCAGTACTGATAGCTAAATTCAGTTGATCGCATAGATCCAAATAAATTAATAAATTATTACTACTATTGTGTTTTTTATAAATTTTATGTGCTTTTTGCTTCCGATTTTTCAAGTTTTTTATTGGTCTGTTATACCAGACTGGATTTTGTGTGTTTCTGTTGCGTCTTTTTTTCTTCAAAGGAATTTCTTCCGAAATTATTTCTGTTAAAATTTTGTAGAACACGTCTATACCAATTTCGACATTTCCTACATTCCTTAAAAGTAATTGCCAATTGACACTGTTTAATTTAAATTTTATTTTTTCGTAGTCTGCTAATTTGTATTCAAAGACTTCTTCGTATTCGCAGTCGTTGGGTCTTTGGTTTTCATGCATAAATAAAGAATATTCGATTGCTGTGTGAAACGCTTCATTTTTCCACAGTGGATTTAATGATTCGGTCATTCGGTTCATTTCCTTGGATGATGTTTTTGGTACTGCTGGTGTGAATTTGTTGTTGTTTTCGTCGTTTTCTGCAGCGTTTGGCTTTTTCTGCAGCTTTTTCCTGCAACCTGCGAGTCCGTTGTTTTGCGTCAAATTTAGACCAGTCTTGCTTCCAGTGCCATTTGTTGCCTAAAAACCGCCATCCAGGAGATGAATGGTCAGTTTTTGGAGATATTGTATTTTTGTGTACTGGAGGACTTTCAGCTAATTCTTCCTCCAAGGTCTTCTGATTAGGTTCTGCAGCATTTATCTGAAGACTAGAAACAGCCCCAGATACAAATTTCACTTCCTCGAGAATTTCCAGAAGTTTTGGCTCTGGATGATGATGATGAGGTGATGATTCGGCCCCTTTTATTGAAAGTGCCATGTCATTTGATAAGCTTGATAGCCGTTCGTCAAGTAATTTTGTAATTTTTTGTGATATCAACGAATTTGATTCGTTGATGCCGGTTATTGTCGCGTGCGCTTGTGAATCACACGTTTTCATATGCTGGCCGACCGCGCTGCACATGTTATTATTATTTTTATTTATTACTGCCAACGTTTCTTTTACGTCATTGAGCAGGTGCTCAATGCTGTCGAATAATTCTGATACTAAGCAGAATTTTTTTAGGTCAGCAGCAATGCGGTGATTCGCGTCCGTTTGAGAGTGGATTGCTTCCACAAGTTGCTCCTGTTGATGAAGCAGCTTCCTCACGTCGGCTTCCTTCCGTAAAATGTGCTGGCAGTCAGCACACATTGGCACCATGAATGCCGTGATGAAATGCTCCCGTTGTCGCTGTACTCCGACACAGGCAGCATGGTATTTTTTGTTGCAGAATTCGCACTTCCATAGAAAGCGGTCGTCGTTGATACTGCATGATATTACACCGCACGGCATAACTGCTTATGTTGTAAATATTCGACGAATACTATAAGGACAAAAGGCCAGCGAGACCCACACGCGTCGTTGTCGAAGTGTAAAAAAAAATATTTATATATATACAAATTACTTGCGGACCAAAATGCAAATGCGTCCGCGCCCGAAGACAGCTCGTGGCGAAAAAAATTACAGTACATCTTCGAAACAGCAAGACTCAACGGATACAAGGAGACCAAAATCCAGGCAATCATCGATAAAAAAGCGAGAATTCTACAAAGGAGATTATTTACAACCCTCACCGCAGCACCTGAATTATTGAAACGAGTGTCCGTTCCATTTGATCAAGATATTACTTGTAAGCTAAGACCACAGTTAAAAAAATTCGGATTAGATTTAGTTTTCACCAGTAGACATAACCAGTTGAAATCATTGTTAGGATCCACTAAAGACCCAGTTAATGTTTTAGGTAAAGCAGGTGTATATAAAATAAGCTGTAATCATTGTAACAAAGTATATGTAGGACAAACCAAGAGAACTTTAGCAACTAGATTTAAAGAACATATAGCGGAGGTTAATGAGGCCAAAAAGCAAGAGGAAAAAGGCCTAACATATGATTTCAAATCAAAGGTTGCAGAACACATCTTCACAGAGGACCACCAACTATCGACGGAGGACATCACGATTTTACGAACCGTATCTACACCATGGAAATTGGATGTTGCAGAATGCTTCGAGATCAACAAACAACGTAATTCAACTTTATTCAACAGGGATCAAGGAAACGGACACACATGGCTTTTCAAGTTACTACCTAGGACACATCAACGAGTAAGCAGCGGAGTTCCTATAGAAAATTAAATTTAAGTTTACCTAGTTTCTAAGTGAAAATGTACCTGTGTTAATATATATTCGGTAAATGCGATGTTTTTCTTCAGTCGAGTATTAGTACAAGACACTGAAGAAGTCTGCACATTTTAGACGAAATACGCGTATCTGTCAAGGATAAGCAAATATAGTAGTGGAATTAAATGGAAAATACTAATCCAGGTATTCCACTAAGACGCCCACATTCATCAGGATACTGTGGCATGTTGAGAAATTGAGCTAGTGAGAGCAAATTTTCTCTCTCAAATTTTAATTTTTTGGCTCTCTGGGGACTGGTAGTAAAGCAGGTAAAACTGTATGGGGGAAAATCATTTTTATTTAATTGTAGCTTGTTTAACAATAATTTCCGGGAAAAACTGAACGACAAAGTCTCTGACTAATTTCTTTAGATTGTCGTGTCGGATTTTTATAACTTCCTACCAGCGGAACAGCGCCATCTCTGTGGAAAATGGCCGGACGATATGATTAATTATGCAAACCGGAGAAGGTCGAGTCTGAAATGAATGCTTGCCTTGGGAATGCTTCAATGTCTCTGCATATCCGCGTTACAACTCGTACTTTAATCCTATGTTTTACATGCAACCGAGTTTTCCGCACGGTAGCACACTCCGTCCCATTTGACACTTTCAGGTGACTTACTCATCGGAACTAGTGCTCTCTCGCCAGTGCCGTACTGACCGCGTGCTACATGTACTAGCATCGTCTAGGCAAACAATTCCGTAGTTGCTGTTTTCCCCCTCATGCAAGCCAGGCCAGAGCAAGGGGAAGAGAAGAGCGAGAGCCTATCGTTTCTGAATTCGGTTCGTCGTGGCGTGGCATTCATTCCGAAGTGGTCCGAAAAATCCGAACTTGGATAGAGCCTCGGCGTGCTGCGGATCTTTTCTCCCGTCGTCGTTCAGCCCAGTCGATTCAGTGCCATCGACCGGTTCGGTTAGTTTTAATTACGTACGATTATATGTAGGCTTCGAGCAAGGAACAAAGTAGCATAATAACGAGCGGTACCTCGGTGCATTAGTCTAGGCTTGGGAAGAGTACAGCGAAAGCGCAGAGTTCCAGCAGGACCTGCCGCACCGGGTTTCGGTTTGTACACGCGCGACCCTTTTTTCTAGTGGGTCGGAGGGGTGGTGGGGCTGCTTGCACTAGTTTTCCAGTGCACGAAACCGCAGCGGATGTGGATCGCAGTGCTTTTGGAGGCGTGAGTGAGCGGTAGTGGGTGGGTGACACATGCAGTTTAGGATGTTTTCTGCGGTCGCACGGTGATCTGCTCTGTATAGTACAACCTGGAAGGCTTTTTTCCATCACGGTAGGGGGGTGGCTGTGGAGTGGGGTGTTCCTGTTTTTGTCGAGCGTTGCACCGTGAAGCGTTGAAGAATGGAGTAATTAAGTGAAGAAGAGCCCCGCTTTTGCTTTGGGAAGAAAGGCAGAAGAGTGTCCACATATGATGGATGAGCTGGCATTTGAGTGAAAATTGAGGAAAAAGGGTCCGAGCATAAAGAAGGGAAAACTATATGTATGAGTGAATGCAAATACACCGAGTGAGGAAAGTGATACATCTAATTTTAGCGAGGGAAAGAAAAAAGGAGCAAAGGGGAAAATGTACACAAAATAATCAAGCAATTTCTCTATCGAGTTTCTGTCGTCGTCGTCGTCGTCGTCGTCGAGTGTGAAAAGTGTATTTCTCGCTGTTTGGTGTTTTTTGTTTGTTCAATGAGCGCAAAGAGGTGGGAAATTTTGGTTTTGCTGTTTGTGATTGTTGTGTGATTCCCAGAGTAGTAGGAAGAATAAGAAGTCGGGAAGTGCAGGAGAAAGAAGAAATGTGGACCTCGGCACGCGTAATCGAGTGGCAGGAATAATAGTACCGTTAGTGAGGACATGCTGTGAGCTGCAGCAGAGTGAAAGAAGGTTGTTGAACAGAACAGTTGAACAGCGCTGCCAGATGGGGTTGATTTGAATTTCGAGTATTGCATAAATATTCAGATCAGATGTCGCTTCAGAAAGCAAACAAGTCACAAGCTGTGGCTTTATTCGAATGAGATATGTTGTTGGGAAAATGGTGATGCAAAATTGTGTTAATCAAAATGTGGAATTTGCATTAACATTTTCTTCTGTGAGTGGAATCCTAGTTTCTCGTGTAGGGATGGGTTCTAGCGCAGGGGTAGAACCGAAGCCTTTCGTGTCAAAAGACGCGGATTCAAATTAAATCGAGGAGATAAAGTTGCAATCCCAAGTAACAATTTGGGTTTGATGAGGGTTCTGTAGAATATGATTTTGACTTGTAGAATTCTTTAAAACCTCGATAAAACTTGCAATGTTACTTAGGATTTCTGGGTCAACATATTTGTTTGTTTCCTCCTAATTTTCAATTTTGATCACTATGCATTACTACCGAACTGTAGCGGTGACAAAAATTACCAAATTTCTAAACAAAATCTCAGGGTGTCGTATTTTTTTTACGAATAAACCCTTTATTCTTTAACATTACTAACTTTATCAGCTGAGGAATGATTTAAACATAGATTTTTTGCAGTGAATTCTGGAATAACAAACACACTGGGAAACTATCGCTAACATTGGTAATTTTTTGCATTTTAATATAACTGCTTTAAAACTACAAAAAAAAAACGATAAATCCACTATTGTAGATTTGATCGTTTTAATAAGATTGAATGTGTTTTGAAACCTTTTGAGAAAAAAGGAACTTTAAAATTAAGGTCGAAGTTTCACCGAACGTAGTTGAGGTTTCGACAGAAAAAACATAAGACGACAATAATTTCTGTGTGTAGTAAAAAAATGTTTGATCACTATGTTTTTATAGAATTTTTAAATTTGATGACCTAGACAATATTTAAAATTTGAGCAAATCCACGCCACACAAACCAATCTGAATTTTAACCATCGGGTAAAATCTCCCCTAGTTTACTTTTAAGCTGTAGTTGGTACAAACAATGAAACTGTTTGCAAGCGTTATTGATTTATGCGATATCATGCTTAAATTTAGACGAAATTTCGTGCAAGTTTCGCCAAATCTAGCGTTAATTACGTGTGCGCTATATGTCGCAGAAATTTACATTGTTCCTCTCCGAATTCCATGAATCTTCGCATATTTGTTCCACAGCCAAACAGACGTAACTATATAGAAAAAAATTCCTTAAATATACCGTCACGGAACTCACTAACGGCATCTCGCGAGCTATTAGCGTAGAAAAGCTTACTTGCCTAGTTTCATACAATTTCGATAGAATGTATAGAAACGTCATAGTGATCCGACGACACTGCTGTGGTGAGAGATTCGCGCAACTAATAATATTTAAATTAAACGTTCAGTGCGTGTACGATGATTGACAAGAGAGAGAGTTCCGACTGTTTGGCTTGGATTGTTCGCTAGGGGCAATGAACCAAGTTTGTGCTGGGCCACTTTAACTCTGAATAATACTTTAAATCGTGTTACATCTAAATGTTCCCTCATTTCACATCGGTTGAACCATTCTGAACGGCCATATCGTTGTGGTTATGTCATAGCATTGCTAATAATTCCAAGGGAAGTCGGAAAATGTAAAACCCGAAATATTTCTTCAAGACTGTGAGTCGAACCAGCTGCCTCCAGCTCAGCTTGGTTATACCGTGTCTTTACTGACTATGCAGGCCCATGTAAATATAGCAATGCATACATTGATCTAATTTACACAGCAATCAATTTAATGGACCTTCAGGGTCTTCCGACGGGTCATTTGGTGACCTCTCAGATCCAATAACCAACAGTTCCACACACTTAGATTTTTCTACCGAGCTCGGCTGTGCAAATCTCGGCAAAAATAAGTTTCACTGAGATCTCAACAAAAGTGACATTTGATTACTGAGTCTCGGATAATGCTTAGCTGAATCTCAGCAAACAAATGAAATGTTTGCTGAGATCCCAGTAAAACTTGTTTTGCCGAGATTTTCACAGCCGAGCTCGGTAGAAAAAAGTAAATGTACATATCACAAATCATCATTTTACTACATTTGATATAATTGCAGATAATCATGCCAAACATTGATCAAATTTATAAACCAATCAATTTTACTTATGTTCTGGAACTTCCGGTGGGCCGCCTGGGTACCATTCGGAGCCAATGACCAGCTAATATATCATCGAGTGTTCACTCGGCTGTCGACAAAAGCAGGCCACTCTCGATGTGTGCTACGCGATCGTCTGTTTTCTCGGCAGCAACCATTGTGTGGTCCTCCTCATTGTTCTTCATCAGCAGTTCTTTCGGTCGATGCGTCGTCGACTTTGGAAAGCAACCGTTTCGTGATGAGTGTGTGAGTGCTGACCACGTTTTGCGTCCATTGCTGCAATGGACGCGCTCTGACCCTCGTTGGCGTACAACAATTTGCCATACAATGAAACCACTGGAAGCGGCTCCAGTTCTGATGGAGGAGGCTTTTTGGATAGCGGAAGATAAAGTGTTTATTGTGTTGTACCTTTTGACTATAGTTTTAAGATCTATTGTATAGTGACCAAGAATCCTCGGCTCTGTAAAGTTAATTCGGTTGAGCCTTATCAAATAAATTAATAAACAAAAAAAAAAAAAAGCTAATATATCAAAAATCACAATTTACTACATTCCATACAGTATCAGAACAAATCTAAGCATACTTTATTACTTACACAGTAATACACTTTACGGATGTTCGGAATCTTCCGGTGGACCATCTGGTGACCAGTCGAAACCAATGAGCAGCTAATATTTTCCCACATCGCATATACATACAGAGACAAATCAAGACCTACTTCGATAAAATTTACGAAGCAATACATTTTACCGATGTTCCAGATCTTCCGGTGGGCCATCTGGTGGTCACCTGGTGGTTAATATACTAAAAATCATAATTTTACTACATTCCAAATAGTAGGGAAAATGGATGTAATGTCGGCCAAAATGCCTCTAATTTGGGCCCATACATAAATTCAGCAATCGACTAAATTTTCAATAGCGACCAAAAATATTAATTAGTACCGTCCCATTCACGAGTTCATCTAGATAAAATTGATGAACAGCAGATTTCAAGCGATAGGCCCAATCTTAGATCCATAGGCCAACATTAGAGCCATTTCTCCCTGGGAGGGAGAAGCAGATAGCACACACGGAATTCATTGTATACTTGTTCTTTTTGTCATGAAAAGTTTTGCCATTGAAATCAAATCAAAACAGGCGTAGCAAAATAACGGGTTTTTGCTTTGAGCGTGTAGTGATTGTTTGAGATTGTTCAGTGTGCAGTGAAAAACTGTACTTTTCTGTTTGGTATTTTATTGTGCCACTAAATGTTTTGAGAAAACTTTGTTTAATGGTATCTTTTAATATTAATTTGTGTGTATTTTGAATGAATTAAAAAGAAACGGTGTCCTATTGAATGAAATAGCTGGAATCGACAGTTTGTCATGAATTACTTTACGTAAGATTTCAATGCCGCTATGTGTATTCATGTTCAACTGTAAGAAAAGCATCATAAAATTGCTTGGCTGCCAATGACAGTTCGTGACAGCAGCCGTCTGGCTGCATTTGACGTTCCATTATTCTCTCTATATCGGCGCTATTAATTGTTATTAATCTTGTTTGTGCAGCAGGGGTTGGAAAACTAATACAACATGCATAAGGGCAGGTCCATTAATTATGTCATGCAAATTTGGCCCATTTTCATATTTTTTGTATGGACCTGAAATTTTTTTGTATGGCTTGTCACAGATTCCAAACCCTCCCCCTCCCACCTTAAAGTGTGACATAATTAATGGATGATCCCTAAACATGCTATCAATATAGACGTTTGAGTGGTTTTTATGAGTTTAAAGCTGGAATTATTTTTCGGCGTTGTGAGTGTGAGTGCGTATATATGCATGAAAATTTCAAGCATGAATGTTGCTTGTCACATTTGCATCCGCAGGGACACTCAATGAATGAGATATGAGTGTGATTTTCCGAACACTGATCGTGACTGAGTTCTGCTCGAAAACCGATCGATCGGTAACACAAGGATTTTCGAACATAAGAAATAACTTTCGAAATGTCATTTTTCATCACGAGTTAAATTTAACTTGGCAAATGGTTCACAGCCTAAGGCTGTGTTACATTTGATGAATTTTCACTTAAATTTGACAGATGGAAAATTTTAAAATAAACCTGCTACTGTACCGGACTTATTTCTGACAGACAAAGAATCAATTTTGACACCTTTACGAAAATCGGAAGATCAACAACAGAGACGTTGTCAAATTTAAGTGAAAATTCACCAAATGGAACACAGCCTAAGGATGATCTGGGTCACTGGATGGCCTTCTGGTGTACACTCAGTAATCAACACCAGGTTGTGGGTTACTTTTATTAAAATATTAATCAACACTATCCATGGATGCCTGTTGCTGTGGATATCTAGAATCACCTTGTTCTAGGTTACTGGTACCTTTTCTCCTCCTGATGGGCCCGTCGTAAACCCGGTATAAAACCGGAACCACTTGGCCAATCTGTTCCAATTTGCAGTATACCATAATTTCGAACATTCCGGCCAATTTCATGTTGAAACAAAAAAGGTAAACCCATCCTAACATTACTATTCGTATGCCTGTTCGTAAAAATAAAAACCGCATAAAGCTCATTAGGCCCTCCCCAAAAGTAAGGCAGGTGAGGTGGTGTTCATTTGAAACTCTAATAACTTTTCGGGGTTAGCTCGGATTCACATCCGTTCTTCAGCCAAGATGCAGACTTGCCAAAAGCTCCATCAAGAGCCATCAATAAGCTGAGCTCCAGCATATTTTGATGATGATATATTTTGCTCTCACGGAGCTATAAATGATGCTCAAACTGGGCTCTTGCCAACCCGCATCGCTGAGAGGGATGCATAGCTCGTTCTCGGGTGTACATCGACTC